GGGGCGGCTGCGGCGCCGGAGCGGCCGGGAGGGGGGTTGTGGCCGGGGGCTGCCAGCGGGACCTGAGGGCCGGGGCTGGAGGATGGGGGCACAATGAGGGCTGGGGATCCTCTGGGAAGAGCCAGGGAGGCCCCAGGGTGGAGGGGGATAAGGGAAGGAGGGGATCGGGAAGGGATGAGAAGACAAAAGGGAGACAAAGGGGAAGGGAGGGACAGTGGGAGCCACCGACGGAGAGGGAGATGTGGCCAGGGAACACAAGACCCCCCCACACCGTGCCAGGGGCACCCAGGGCGTGGGGCTGCACTGTGGGCTGGGGGCTGCAGCGGGCCCAGGCGTCCGGGCGCCCATGTCCGTCCTCGCAGGCCGCGGAGGAGCTGAAGATGTCGGGCTCCATCGCCTCGTACGAGCAGCTCGTGCGGCAGGTGGAGGCGCTCAAGAAGGAGAACAGCCACCTGCGGCGCGAGCTGCAGGACAACTCGCACCACCTCTCCAAGCTCGAGAATGAGACCTCGGACATGAAGGTGAGCTCGGAGCCAGGGTCCTCCGGGGATGCCCCTTCCACCCGCCTGGGACCCCCTTCTGATGGATTCCTGTGGGTTTCAGGAGGTCCTGAAGCACCTGCAGGGCAAGTTGGAGCAGGAGGCCCGGGTCATGGTGTCCTCGGGGCAGACGGAGGTCCTGGAGCAGCTCAGAGGTGGGTGGCAGCACCTTGGCCCCGGTCACAGACCCATTGCCCCTTCCCTCTGCCCCCTGTCCCCTCCGCCTCCCTCCCCACCAGATGGACATCTCCAGCCTCTACAACCTCAAGTTCCCGGCAGCCGCGCTGGTGCCGGAGCTGGCCGAGGAGATGCCGCTGCCCGCACCGCGGGGCAAGGACGGCGCCGGGGACCCAAGCAGGGCCACCCTGCGCATCCTCGAGGAGCTGGACCGCGAGAGGTGACTCATCTTGTCCCCATGCACGGGGTGCTCGTGCCGGGGCTGTGCCCGCCACGACGCCCCGCTGACAGGCACCATCCCGCGTGTCCAGGTGCTTCCTGCTGGGCGAGATGGAGAAGGAGGAGAAGGAGAAGGGCTGGTACTACACGCAGCTGCAGAGCCTCTCCAAGCGCCTGGACGAGCTGCCGCACGTGGAGACGGTGAGTGGGGCCGGCCGCGGTGCCCGGCCCGGCCCGGCGCTCCGTGACAGCCGCCCTCGCCCCGCAGTTCTCCATGCAGATGGATCTCATCCGGCAGCAGCTGGAGTTCGAGGCGCAGCACATCCGCGCGCTCATGGAGGAGCGCTTCGGCACGGCCGACGAGATGGTGCAGCGGGCGCAGGTCGGCGCCCTCCTCCTGCCCTTGTCCCCCATGTCCTGGGTTATCCTCATCCCTGTGCACCCGTGTCCCCATCTCTCCCTGTCCCGTGCACCCTTGCACGCAGTGTTCCCTGCCCGGAGCCTCCTCATTCCCAGCGCTTTGCAGCCTGTGCCATTGCACCCTGGTGCCCTGCTGTCCCCATGCCTTGTCCCCAACTTTCCCCCTCCCTGGATGCCCTCGTCGCCAGCTCCCAGGGCTGGGTGTCCCCAGCGCGCACTGACGCCCGCTCCGTGTGCACAGATCCGGGCGTCGCGGCTGGAGCAGATCGACAAGGAGCTCATGGAGGCGCAGGACAAGGTGCAGCAGACGGAGCCGCAGGGACCGGGGCCGAGCGCGGAGCCGCCGGGGCCGCC